ATAATATTTATACTAATTTCATTCAGATTTAGCATAGCTTCAAGAGAAGTATAAGGCTTTTTTTCTATGAACCAGAAATAACAGTATAGTACTATATGAAAAGCTTATTACACAAGTTTGCAAAATTCTAAAAACTAACCCAAGATTAGGATCTTTGGTTAAAGACGTTGGTGGATAGTATAATGTGTATCATCATAATTTTCATACATTAGTCATGAAGTTAACAAGTGAATTCAGATCAATTTATGAAAGGTTTGTAATAGAAATAAAATATAAATATGTTTATTTAATTGTTCTTTATATTAAATGAAAAAATTAATAAATAACTAGTATGAAAGAACCATATGATGAATTAGATAAATTTGTTACTGATGATGTTTAGAAAATATTGTTACAAATGTATCTAAAAGTGATCGACTAAACAAAATTGAAAAAAGGTTATCCTATTTTTACAAAACTGAGTATCTTTGTATATAAAACTATTAAAGCTGTTCTTATTGCTCAAGATAACAATAAGGATACAAAACATGCAATTCAAAAGTATAATAAATACACAATAGACTTGGAAATCTCAACTAAACTTGGGATAGTTAAGGCATTACCTGTTAGGAAGCTTCTAGATTGCTGATATTATAATATAAAATCTCTTGGCATAACTGATCAATTTCATTTTCTGTATATTAAAAATTATTAATTACTATAAGTTAAAATTGTATTAGAAAAGAAAAAATCAAAAAAATCTATTTACCAATTCATTCAAGGTTCCCAAACATTAATAGCAAAAATAATTAGCAAAAATTAGCTAGAGAAATTAGCGAAATTTAGCAAAATAGCTTATTATCAATTTATATTTATTAAGTATAAATTTTAATGTAACCATTTTTTTTTTCTGTGAGTTCTTCATCTATTATTTTAGTAAGTTTCCCCGCAGGTCTTCAGACACTAGTCATATACTGGCCATATAAAATTGTATTCTTGATCTATTTTATATTAGGCCAGAATAACAATTCAATGTATACATATCATATTATTGCATAATTGTTTATACATATAAGATATTCAATTAATAGATTAATATATACAGTAATATATTCGATTAATACATAATTTGATAGATCAAAAACAACACTTGGCATCGGCACACTAAATAGCCAACATATTAGTATGGTGTCTGAAGTCCTGGTCCCCCAGTTATCATTTAAAAAATGCACTCATTTATCTAAATCAGTTTAAGAACAAAGATAATAATCATATATTTAGTGCAAAAATAGCAAATTTTAAAAACTTTAAAAATCCTCAACAAATAAACTCTTTCCCATAGATCCTAATTCCATAAGTAAACAATAAAAACAAAACACGGTAAAAGAGTAAAAGACCTCACA